ACCAGTCCCCCCCCCCCTGGTAGACCCCCTCCCCCCACAGGGTCATGCTCGCTTAGGTGTGTCTCAGGTCAACCCACCCCCCTTGGATGAGCCACAGGTGATTTCTTCTGACTCCTCTGGCCCACGTGAGGGGGGTGACTCAATTGCGGACGACACGGCGGCCACTCGCCGCTCTCCACGCTTGGAGACCCGCCCGGGTTTTACGCCTCGACCGTCTTCGCCGCCTCTGCAGCCTGCTACTGTGGACTCTGGTGCTGAGACTACAGGTGCTGAGCCAGGGGGTGAGGGCTGTGAAGGTGCTGTACCTGGCGGTGCTGGTTCTGGGGGTGGTGCGATTGGGGTTGCTGACTCTGTGGGCGCTGCGAGTCCTAGTGGTAGTGGAGTTGTGGGTGATCCTGTTGGAGGTCCTGGAGCTGGAGGTGCTGGAGCTACTAGGCCTGGAGGTACTGCTGGAGGTACTAGAGGTACTACTGGTGCTGGGGGTACTGGAGCTGCTAGGCGTGGAGGTCCTGGAGGTGCTACTGGTGCTGGAGGTACTGGAGCTATTGCTGGTGCTGGAGGTGCTGGAGCTGGAGGTACTAGAGGTGCTTCTGGTGCTGGAGGTGCTAGCGCTACCACTACTGGAGGTACTGGAGCTGGACAGCCACCGCAGCCTGCTCTACTTGAGACGCTCGCCGCAGGCGATTCGTGCGTGGGTCGTTCGGCAAGGCAGTCCTGGTGGTGGAGGGTACGGTCCTGCTGGTGCTGGAGCTACTAGTCCTGGAGGTGCTGCTGGTGCTGGAGGTGTTGGAGGTACTACTGGAGGTACTAGAGGTGCTGCTGGTGCTGGAGGTACTGGAGCTGCTAGGCCTGGAGGTACTGCTGGAGGTACTAGAGGTGCTACTGGTGCTGGAGGTACTGGAGCTGCTAGGCCTGGAGGTACTGGAGCTGCTACTGGTGCTGGAGGTTTTGGAGCTGCTAGTACTGGAGGTGTTGCCAATGCTGGAGGTATTGGAGCTGGAGGTACTGGAGCTGCTGGTGCTGGGGGTGTTACTGTTACTGGAGGTGCTGGGGGTGCTGGAGCTGCTGGCACTGGAGGTACTGGTGCTACTGGTGCTGGAGCTGCGGGAGCTGCTGACCCTAGAGGTGCTGGTGCTGCTGGTGGTGGAGGTGCTGGAGCTACTGGTCCCGGAGGTGCTCGTACTGGAGGTGCTGGAGCTGCCGGAGCAAGTGGTGCTGCTGGTGCTGGAGGTGCTGGAGGTGCTACTGGAGCTGCTTGCACCGTAGTTACTGGTAGTACTACTAGTGCTGGAGGCGCTGGAGTTGGAGCTGGAGGCACTGGAGGTGCTGGAGGTACTGCTGGTGCTAGAGGTGCTACTGGAGCTGCTGGCACTGGAGGTGCTGGAGGTACTACTGGTGCTAGAGGTGCTGGCGCTGCCGGAGCTTGTGGTGCTGTTGGTGCTGGAGGTGGTGGAGGTGCTGGTGCTACTCGTACTGGAGGTGCTGCTGGGAGTACTGGTGGAGCTGCTCGTGCTGGAGGTACGGGAGCTGCTGGTGCTCTTCGCCACCTTCTCAGTCTTCCGCTAGGTGCTACTAACTTCCCTGTGGCAGGTACTACTCCTCCGTTACTGTTTCCACCGGTAGACCAGTCACAGCCGCAGCTGCTAGCGCACTCCCCACTGCCTGCTGCTGCTCCCTACACTGCGGTGACACAGTCCCTGACTGAGCGTCGAGAGCCTGAGACTCGTGCTTCCACCCCTGAGCGTTGAGAGCCTGAGTCCAGCTTTGACCTTGAGCCCGAGCCTAGAGCTGCTGTCCGTGCTAGTGTTCCTCGTGTTCGTCGTCAGCGTTCTCCGGCTGTCCCAGGCACTCACGATATGACACTCTGTCCTTCCTCTGTTCCACAGCGTGTTGTCTTGCCGTAACCTCCTGCGTCCTCTCTTCCTAGCGTTGCTGACTCTTCGTCTGACCTTGCTCGTGCATCCAGTCCGACTGTTACTCGCTTTCTTGCTACGGTGGTGAGTGGCCCTTCGTTCCCGTCTCCTGCTGCGTCTGCCTTAGTCGCTGAGCTCGTTGACTTTGTTGCTGTGTACCGCCTAGACTACCTTGCGAGTCTTGTCTTTGATCCTGTCCCTGCCTGTCCTCCGTCCGTCGGGGGTGAGACTGCCTTTGGCTGTACTGCCCTTGGCTGTGACGTCCTTGAGGACAGAGAGGAAGAGCTCGAGTGCCTTGCGGCCGCTGCACCCCATCTTGCAACCATGCTGCTTGCTCCTGAGGGAGACCCGGATGCACTTGACATCTCCTCCCCGCGCTCTTTCAGAGAGGCGATTTTGGGTAAGTACTCCTCTTAGTGGCAAACACCCATAGACGCAGAGATGGCTTCCTGGAAGTCCACAGGCACCTACGTCGACGAGGTTCCCCCATCTGGGCCGAACATCGTCAGTGGCATGTGGATTTTCAGGGTGAAGCGGCCGCCGGGTTCTCCGCCTGCCTAGAAGACACGTTACGTTGCTCGAGGCTTCAGTCAGCGTGTGGGGGTCGACTTCTTTCAGACCTTCTCCCCCGCCCCGAAGATGACCACTCTTCGGGTGTTACTACACGTTGTAGCTCAGCGTGACTACGAGCTGCACTCCCTCGACTTCTCGACGGCTTTCTTGCAGGGTAGCCTTCATAAGGCTATCTGGTTGCGCCATCCAGAGGGCTTCACTGGGTCGTTTCCTGAGGGTTCCGAGTGGAGCCTACGGCGACCAGTGTACGGCCTGCGTCAGGCACGACACACTGAGAACGACACTTGCGGCTCTTGGGTTTGCCCCTTCGACTGCTGACCCGTCGCTGTTTCTACGCAACGAGACTACTTTGCTGGCGTTCTACATCCTCGTGTACAACGACGACATGGTTTTTGCTATTGCTGACACTGAGGCACTGGCCCTAGAGACACACCCGCACTGACCTGGGTGAGCTGCGGAGCTATCTTGGCTTGCAGATCACCCGGGACAGAGCATGGCGCACCATCACCCTAACTCAGTCACACATGGTGCACCAGGTCCTCGAGCGCTTCTGCTTCACGTGGTCCTCGCCACAGCCCACTCCTCTGTCTACCGGCCAATCGCTCTCAGCTCCACCTTCGGAGGAGTCCGTAGAGCCGAGTGGTCCGTACCTAGAGCTTGTCGGTTGCCTCGTGTACCTGATGACGTGCACGCGTACCCTCTCAGCCTCCTGGCTCGCTACGTGGCACCCGGTAGACACCAAAAGGTGCACTTTGATGCTGCGAAGAGGGTACTGCGTTACTTGGAGCTCGTGCTTGGAGGACGGAGTTCAGTGGTACTTACAGGACCCTCTAACGCTTCTTGGGCCGACGACCAGGCGACTCAGCGTTCGTCATAGGGTTACACCTTCAGTCTTGGCTCAGGTTCTGTCTCGTGGAGGTCCACTCGTTCTTCTTCTGTGCTTGGTTTCAGCTGTGAGGCCGAGATCTATGCTGGGGCCATGGCTGCACAGGAGCTACGCTGGCTGACCTACCTGCTGACCGACTTGGGGGAGCGGCCTCTTTCTCCTCCAGTTCTGTACGTCGACGACAAGGCAATGCTTGCCTTGTGTCGCGAGCAGAGACTGGAGCACAGAAGGAAGCACATTGCTCTTCGCTACTTCCTTGCGCGTGAGCTGCAACAGCGTGGTCAGCTGCGCCTTGCTTACGTGGCCTTTCGGGCCAACACTGCTGATGTCTTCACCAAGGCCCTTGGGTCTGGTGATCATCAGCGTTTCTGCACTGCTCTTGGGCTTGTGCCCACTCTGCCTCACCTACTGGTTGCTTGACTTGCTCTTGCTGTACACTGATATATAGATATATATACTTATATATTTATTTATATCTGCTTGTTTACTCTTGCTAGGTTGTGATCAGTGTACTGCTTTAGTATTATAACTCTGCATGTGAACTGGCCTTGTGGCTGCTTGCTTGTGCTCAGATTGTGTGGTGTCCTTGAGATCCATCCTGAGCATTGCTTTGGTTTGCTTGTTCTCTTACTTGACTGGCATTGTGACCGTCTATTGTGTTTGCTATCTCCCACTTAGCCTATGGGGATGTGTCAAACTGTATGTTTGTGTTCTCTCTTGGCTATAGTGGGTTAGCCTACAAGGGGTACAACACTTTAGGGTTAGGTACGGTACTTGTACTCATGCATGCTACATAGTCCACCATTCCTACCTGCTTATTCTAACACTAGGTCGGCAATAGTCTACTTGGTATCGCCTATCGTGTTCTCCACGATCACCCGATTCCAATGATATGCGCTCAGCTTGAAGTTGTCAATACACACTACAGCAATTTTCAGAATCTCAATGTTATCTAAATGTTATATTTTCCAGAATGAGTACAAGCAGTTTTATAGTCAACCAAGGTACAAAATGCGCTTCGTAACGTAATTTGTCTCCCAAGCAATCTAGCGCGCGCCTCGTTTAACCCTGAGTTTACACGAAACCGAACCGAATTCACCGAACACTTCTTGAGCCTGAATCTGGAAATAAGCGAACACGCCTCAGGCCCGAATTCACGCTTCTTCCTCTTTCTCGCACATTCCTTCTCGATTTCTCTCTCAGTTCTCACGCCGTATGCCGATGTCCACCGCTTCACTCAAGAATAGTCCACACTATTCCTTCACCTTCATTCCGCCGTCGTAGAAGCTTTCGTTGTAGGTTCCGTGGTTGGGCGAACCAGCCCTAACACATCAGCAGCGGCGCTCGGAGCGCCGCCATGGCTGACGTGGCGGTGCATCAGTTCAACAACATCCTCCTCGGCGGCCGCGGCGCTCTGGCAAGTCCTCCTCCGCCCGCTCGTTGCGCTGATTCTTTCCGTTCCAGCCCAACGCTCGCCTTCCTCGTCTCCCTCCCTCAGCTGCTCCTCGCTTCTCGCCCTTTTGCGAGATTTTTGTGCCTCTGCGAATTCCTCGTGAGTTCGCGAAGTACTCATGCCTTCGCGAAGCTTTTGTGCCTTCGCGAATCTCTCGTGCCTTCGCGAATTCCGCATGCCTTCGCGAATCCCTCGTCCTGCGCAGACCCCGGGGCAGCTGCGCGTGCACACGGGCGGGCTGGCGTGGCGGAAGCTGGGCGGGGGGAAGCAGGTGGACGTGCAGCGCACGGACATGGCGGGCGTGGTGTGGATGCGCGTGCCGCGCGGGTACCAGCTGTGCGTGCGGCTCAAGGCGGGCGGCAAGGTGAAGTTCAACGGCTTCACCAAGGCGGACGTGGACTCGCTCTCGCCCTTCCTCACCTCCACGCTTGGCTTCGCGCCGCGCAAGAGCGAGCTCGCCACCAGCGGCCGCAACTGGGGCGACGCCGAGATCGAAGGTACCCACCACCACCGCACCGCACTGCATCGAAGTGCACCGCAGGGCGCGGTGCTGTGCGGGAAAGGGGTTGGGGGAAAGGGGGCGGAGGGTGGGAGAGCAGGGGGAAGGTGGGAGTGGCGTGGGTGTACGGGTGGGCGAGGCTGGTGCGGTTAGGCGATGCAAGATAGTCTTGAGAGGCACTTGGTTCCCGCTGCCGCGCCCTCTGCTGCTCTCGTTCCACCCTGTGCTGCCACCATGTCAACTTGTTGCTTGTGCCCTCGAGCCATGTGCTGTGTGCCATGTGTCATTTGCTGTTTGATGTGCTACTGTTGTACTGTTTCCCATGCTCTGCGCATGCATCCATGTCCGTATATCCCCCTACCCAGTGAGAGGAGTAAATAATAGGGAAGCAGTGACGACCCACGGAGGGGGTTTGAACCTAGGGGGGGCTCTCTTCTCCGTTACGGATATGCACATGTGCATGCACACACCCACTCACACCCATGCAGGCACGATGCTGGGATTCCAGGTGGGTGGCAAGCAGGCCTTCGAGATCTCCATTGCTGACGTGTCACAGACACAGCTGTCAGGGAAGAACGACGTGCTGCTGGAGTTCCACGTGGACGACACTGCCACTGCTGCTGAGGTGCGCTGACGTGGCAAGTGTGTGCTAAGTTGCATAAGTTTAAGTACAAGTGGCATGTTGGTGCCGCATGAGGGACTAGTACGTGAGAGGGACTAGCACGTGAGAGGGACTAGCACGTGAGAGGGACTAGCACGTGAGAGGGACTAGCACGTGAGAGGGACTAGCACGTGAGAGGGATTAGCACGTGAGAGGGACTAGCACGTGAGAGGGACTAGCACGTGAGAGGGACTAGCACGTGAGAGGGACTAGCACGTGAGAGGGACTAGCACGTGAGAGGGACTAGCACGTGAGAGGGACTAGCACGTGAGAGGGACTAGCACGTGAGAGGGACTAGCACGTGAGAGGGACTAGCACGTGAGAGGGACTAGCACGTGAGAGGGATTAGCACGTGAGAGGGATTAGCACGTGAGAGGGATTAGCACGCGAGAGGGATTAGCACGCGAGAGGGATTAGCACGCGAGAGGGATTAGCACGCGAGAGGGATTAGCACGCGAGAGGGATTAGCACGCGAGAGGGATTAGCACGCGAGAGGGATTAGCACGCGAGAGGGATTAGCACGCGAGAGGGATTAGCACGCGAGAGGGACTAGCACGTGAGAGGGATTAGCACGCGAGAGGGATTAGCACGCGAGAGGGACTAGCACGTGAGAGGGACTAGCACGTGAGAGGGACTAGCACGTGAGAGGGACTAGCACGTGAGAGGGACTAGCATGTGAGAGGGACTAGCACGTGAGAGGGACTAGCACGTGAGAGGGACTAGCACGTGAGAGGGATTAGCACGTGAGAGGGATTAGCACGCGAGAGGGATTAGCACGCGAGAGGGATTAGCACGCGAGAGGGATTAGCACGCGAGAGGGATTAGCACGCGAGAGGGATTAGCACGCGAGAGGGATTAGCACGCGAGAGGGATTAGCACGCGAGAGGGATTAGCACGCGAGAGGGACTAGCACGTGAGAGGGATTAGCACGCGAGAGGGATTAGCACGCGAGAGGGATTAGCACGCGAGAGGGATTAGCACGCGAGAGGGATTAGCACGCGAGAGGGATTAGCACGCGAGAGGGACTAGCACGTGAGAGGGATTAGCACGCGAGAGGGATTAGCACGTGAGAGGGATTAGCACGCGAGAGGGATTAGCACGCGAGAGGGATTAGCACGCGAGAGGGATTAGCACGCGAGAGGGATTAGCACGCGAGAGGGATTAGCACGCGAGAGGGATTAGCACGCGAGAGGGATTAGCACGCGAGAGGGATTAGCACGCGAGAGGGACTAGCACGCGAGAGGGACTAGCACGCGAGAGGGATTAGCACGCGAGAGGGATTAGCACGCGAGAGGGATTAGCACGCGAGAGGGATTAGCACGCGAGAGGGATTAGCACGCGAGAGGGATTAGCACGCGAGAGGGATTAGCACGCGAGAGGGATTAGCACGCGAGAGGGATTAGCACGCGAGAGGGATTAGCACGCGAGAGGGATTAGCACGTGAGAGGGATTAGCACGTGAGAGGGATTAGCACGTGAGAGGGATTAGCACGTGAGAGGGATTAGCACGTGAGAGGGATTAGCACGCGAGAGGGATTCGCACGTGAGAGGGATTCGCACGTGAGAGGGATTAGCACGTGAGAGGGATTAGCACGTGAGAGGGATTAGCACGCGAGAGGGATTAGCACGTGAGAGGGATTAGCACGTGAGAGGGATTAGCACGTGAGAGGGATTAGCACGTGAGAGGGATTAGCACGCGAGAGGGATTAGCACGTGAGAGGGATTAGCACGTGAGAGGGATTAGCACGTGAGAGGGATTAGCACGCGAGAGGGATTAGCACGTGAGAGGGATTCGCACGTGAGAGGGATTAGCACGTGAGAGGGATTAGCACGTGAGAGGGATTAGCACGTGAGAGGGATTAGCACGTGAGAGGGATTAGCACGTGAGAGGGATTAGCACGTGAGAGGGATTAGCACGTGAGAGGGATTAGCACGTGAGAGGGATTAGCACGTGAGAGGGATTAGCACGTGAGAGGGATTAGCACGCGAGAGGGATTAGCACGTGAGAGGGATTAGCACGTGAGAGGGATTAGCACGCGAGAGGGATTCGCACGCGAGAGGGATTAGCACGTGAGAGGGATTAGCACGTGAGAGGGATTAGCACGTGAGAGGGATTAGCACGTGAGAGGGATTAGCACGTGAGAGGGATTAGCACGCGAGAGGGATTAGCACGTGAGAGGGATTAGCACGTGAGAGGGATTAGCACGTGAGAGGGATTAGCACGCGAGAGGGATTAGCACGTGAGAGGGATCAGCACGTGAGAGGGATTAGCACGTGAGAGGGATTAGCACGTGAGAGGGATTAGCACGTGAGAGGGATTAGCACGCGAGAGGGATTAGCACGTGAGAGGGATTAGCACGTGAGAGGGATTAGCACGTGAGAGGGATTAGCACGTGAGAGGGATTAGCACGTGAGAGGGATTAGCACGTGAGAGGGATTAGCACGTGAGAGGGATTAGCACGTGAGAGGGATTAGCACGTGAGAGGGATTAGCACGCGAGAGGGATTAGCACGCGAGAGGGATTAGCACGTGAGAGGGATTAGCACGCGAGAGGGATTAGCACGCGAGAGGGATTAGCACGTGAGAGGGATTAGCACGTGAGAGGGATTAGCACGTGAGAGGGATTAGCACGTGAGAGGGATTAGCACGTGAGAGGGATTAGCACGTGAGAGGGATTAGCACGTGAGAGGGATTAGCACGTGAGAGGGATTAGCACGTGAGAGGGATTAGCACGTGAGAGGGATTAGCACGTGAGAGGGATTAGCACGCGAGAGGGATTAGCACGCGAGAGGGATTAGCACGTGAGAGGGATTAGCACGTGAGAGGGATTAGCACGTGAGAGGGATTAGCACGTGAGAGGGATTAGCACGTGAGAGGGATTAGCACGTGAGAGGGATTAGCACGCGAGAGGGATTAGCACGCGAGAGGGATTAGCACGTGAGAGGGATTAGCACGTGAGAGGGATTAGCACGTGAGAGGGATTAGCACGTGAGAGGGATTAGCACGCGAGAGGGATTAGCACGTGAGAGGGATTAGCACGTGAGAGGGATTAGCACGTGAGAGGGATTAGCACGCGAGAGGGATTAGCACGCGAGAGGGATTAGCACGTGAGAGGGATTAGCACGTGAGAGGGATTAGCACGCGAGAGGGATTAGCACGTGAGAGGGATTAGCACGTGAGAGGGATTAGCACGTGAGAGGGATTAGCACGTGAGAGGGATTAGCACGTGAGAGGGATTAGCACGTGAGAGGGATTAGACGCGAGAGGGATTAGACGCGAGAGGGATTAGCACGTGAGAGGGATTAGCACGTGAGAGGGATTAGCACGTGAGAGGGATTAGCACGTGAGAGGGATTAGCACGTGAGAGGGATTAGCACGTGAGAGGGATTAGCACGTGAGAGGGATTAGCACGTGAGAGGGATTAGCACGTGAGAGGGATTAGCACGTGAGAGGGATTAGCACGTGAGAGGGATTAGCACGTGAGAGGGATTAGCACGTGAGAGGGATTAGCACGCGAGAGGGATTAGCACGCGAGAGGGATTAGCACGTGAGAGGGATTAGCACGTGAGAGGGATTAGCACGCGAGAGGGATTAGCACGTGAGAGGGATTAGCACGTGAGAGGGATTAGCACGTGAGAGGGATTAGCACGTGAGAGGGATTAGCACGTGAGAGGGATTAGCACGTGAGAGGGATTAGCACGTGAGAGGGATTAGCACGTGAGAGGGATTAGCACGTGAGAGGGATTAGCACGTGAGAGGGATTAGCACGTGAGAGGGATTAGCACGCGAGAGGGATTAGCACGTGAGAGGGATTAGCACGTGAGAGGGATTAGCACGTGAGAGGGATTAGCACGTGAGAGGGATTAGCACGTGAGAGGGATTAGAACGTGAGAGGGATTAGCACGTGAGAGGGATTAGCACGTGAGAGGGATTAGCACGCGAGAGGGATTAGCACGTGAGAGGGATTAGCACGTGAGAGGGATTAGCACGTGAGAGGGATTAGCACGTGAGAGGGATTAGCACGTGAGAGGGATTAGCACGTGAGAGGGATTAGCACGTGAGAGGGATTAGCACGTGAGAGGGATTAGCACGCGAGAGGGATTAGCACGTGAGAGGGATTAGCACGTGAGAGGGATTAGCACGTGAGAGGGATTAGCACGAGAGAGGGATTAGCACGTGAGAGGGATTAGCACGCGAGAGGGATTAGCACGTGAGAGGGATTAGCACGTGAGAGGGATTAGCACGCGAGAGGGATCAGCACGTGAGAGGGATCAGCACGTGAGAGGGATTAGCACGTGAGAGGGATTAGCACGTGAGAGGGGCTGGCAGCAACTCTTTAACCAATTTAAGAGTGCTGTTTCGTCTGACATAACCGCATGTGTGTGTGCATCTCAGTGTGTGCCTCTCTATGTGTGGCTGCGTGTGTGCCTGAGTTTGTGCCTCTGTGTGCCTCTGTGTGTGTACCTTTTTGTGTGTGTATCTCTGTGTGTGTGTACCTCTGTGTGTGTGTGTGTATGTGTGTGTATGTGTGTGTGTGAGTGTGTGTATGTGTGTGTGTGTGTATGTGTGTGTGTGAGTGTGTGTGAGTGTGTGTGTGAGTGAGTGTGTGAGTGTGTGTGTGTGTCTACCTGTGCATGAGGCACTGCATCACCCCTTGGCATAACAGAAGGACATGTTGGTGGAGATGAGTTTTCACGTACCAACGTCCAACACCACCTTCGTTGGCACCGACGACAAGCCCTCCGCACAGGTCAGCCACGCCCCCACACCCAAGCCCTCCGCCCAGGCAAGCCCTCCGCCCAGGCAAGCCCTCCGCCCAGGCAAGCCTCCCGCCTAGGCAAGCTCACCATGTCACTCCCTATCCCTCTGCACTGCCACTCCCTGTCGCCGTTCCCGCTAGCCCCATCCGTTCCCACACCCCTGTCTCGCGCACACAAATGCCTTGCGCCAGGCCAGCACTGGCAGCCGGCCACAGCAAGCAGGAGGCCATGAGAGGGCGAGTCAACGCGGAGGCTCCTTCTCATCTCATGCCCGCCGTGCCTGCCATGCACCATGCTGCCATCATCGCTCCCTCACCACATTCCTTTCCGTCATAGCAAACTCCACTCCACTCACGGGAGATGCTGCCTGCCGTGCTCGCCAATGCCACGCATGCACCAGTGCCCGTCAAGCCTCCCCCCCTCTGCGCACGCGCCGTCCCTCACACGCACACACACACTCTACCCGCCCCGCATGCTGCCCCACAAACCCGTGCTGCTATGGAACGGTGCCACCTCCTGCCACCCACCTCCTGCCACCCACCTCCTGCTCCTCGCCCCACCCACTTCATCCCCGGTGCCACCCCCTGGCCCCGGCCCCCCACCAGATATTCCAGGAGCAGATCCTGGCGCGCGCGGACGTGGGGCCATCGGGCGACGAGGCGGTGGTGGAGTTTGAGGGCGTGCACATCCTCACGCCCAGGGGCCGCTTCAAGGTGGAGCTGCACGTCAGCCACGTGCGCCTGCAGGGCATGGCTGTCGACTTCAAGATCCAGTACAAGAACCTCGCGCGCCTCTTCGTGCTGCCCAAGGTGAGCCTCTTCGTGCTGCCCAAGGTGAGCCTCTTCGTGCTGCCCAAGGTGAGCCTCTTCGTGCTGCCCAAGGTGAGCCTCTTCGTGCTGCCCAAGGTGAGCCTCTTCGTGCTGCCCAAGGTGAGCCTCTTCGTGCTGCCCAAGATGTGTCGCTGGGCTTCTGTCATTGCCAGAAATGCTTTGCAGTGCAGCAGCAGCCCAGATGGTGCCATGGCACGGCAGGCGGGTAGCATTGCATGCTGCAGCCGTGGTGCTTGCGGGGTCGAGCCGCCTGCTGAACCATACCCGCTACCACATACGATGCTCAATGCTCACTGCTGCTGTCATGAGGGCTTTCGCCCACCACCATGCCATGCCGCTTTTAACCTCCATCGCCTCTCTCTGTGTCTCTGTGTCGCCGGGTGCTGTGCCATGCGGCATGCAGGCCAACCAGCCGCACACGTTCGTGGTGGTCACACTGGACACGCCCATCCGCAAGGGCCAGACGCTCTACCCTCACATCGTGCTGCAGGTGCGCCCCACCCACCCCTTGCAACCACATTTCACGACACTGCTCCCAACGTTCTCTGGCACCCTGCAGCGCAAGGTCGATGCATGCTGCATGCACTCGTACCTTCCACCTCCCTCCACCACTCCATGCCCCCATGCTCCGCCGCACATATCTCCTCTGCTGCTGCTCTGTGCCTTGTGTGGGCCATGCTGCCTCGTGTGGGCCATGCTGCCTCGTGTGGGCCATGCTGCCTCATGTGGGCCATGCTGCCTCCCTACTCCATGCATTGTGCTCCACGCTCCACCCATGCCGTTCCCTCTGTTTCTGCCTGCCTGCCTGTGTGTGTGTGCACATGTTGACAGTTCCCGAACGAGGAGACGTTTGAGGGCGGGCTGTCACTGAGCGACGAGTTGCTCACCACCAAGTACAAGGACCGCCTGCAGCCCGTGTACAAGGTGAGGACCGCCTGCAGCCCGTGTACAAGGTCAGACGAGCATGCCAAGGTCAGACGAGCATGACAAGGTCAGACGAGCATGCCAAGGTCAGACGAGCATGCCAAGGTCAGACGAGCATGCCAAGGTCAGACGAGCATGCCAAGGCTGCTTTTTGCCCGCACGTGGTCTGCCAACGGTATGAGCCAATGCTTCCACAGCTATTTACACCACCCACAGCGTGCCCCACCATGCCCCACCATGCCCCACCATTCCCCACCATTCCCCACCATGCCCCACCATGTCCCATCATGCCCCCCCTTGCCCCCACTGTGCCCCGCTTTCCCCCACCGTGCCCCCACTCGTGCCCCCCACGTCCCTTTCCCCCACATACACACAGGGCCTGGTGCACATACACACAGGGCCTGGTGCACATACACACAGGGCCTGGTGCACATACACACAGGGCCTGGTGCACATACACACAGGGCCTGGTGCACATACACACAGGGCCTGGTGCACATACACACAGGGCCTGGTGCACATACACACAGGGCCTGGTGCACATACACACAGGGCCTGGTGCACATACACACAGGGCCTGGTGCACATACACACAGGGCCTGGTGCACATACACACAGGGCCTGGTGCACATACACACAGGGCCTGGTGCACATACACACAGGGCCTGGTGCACATACACACAGGGCCTGGTGCACATACACACAGGGCCTGGTGCACATACACACAGGGCCTGGTGCACATACACACAGGGCCTGGTGCACATACACACAGGGCCTGGTGCACATACACACAGGGCCTGGTGCACATACACACAGGGCCTGGTGCACATACACACAGGGCCTGGTGCACATACACACAGGGCCTGGTGCACATACACACAGGGCCTGGTGCACATACACACAGGGCCTGGTGCACATACACACAGGGCCTGGTGCACATACACACAGGGCCTGGTGCACATACACACAGGGCCTGGTGCACGAGGTGTTCGCTCACATCTCCAGGGGGCTGTCGGGCCATGGGCGCCAAGGTTACCCATGCGGCCCCCATGTCCCACCATGTCCCACCATGCCCCACCGTGCCCCACCGTGCCCCGTGCCTCCCCCCTACCCCCAAGCAGGGCCTGGTGCACGAGGTGTTTGCTCAGATCCTGCGGGGGCTGTCGGGCGCCAAGGTGACGCGGCCGGGGTCGTTCCGCAGCAACAGCGACGGGTACGCGGTGCGCACGTCGCTCAAGGCGGAGGAGGGGTACCTCTACCCGCTCGAAAAGAGCTTCTTCTTCCTCCCCAAGCCGCCCACGCTCGTGCTGCACGATGAGGTGCGCGCACAAGGGGGAGAGGGGAGGGGGAGGACGGAAGGGACGAGGGAGAGGTGGGGAAGGAGGGCGAGGAGTGGAGATGTAGACGGGGGAAGATGGGATGAGGGTTTTGGATGGACATGAGTCAGAGGTTCAGGTTTGGTGGAAGATGTGGGCCTTTGCGCTGCTCGCTACTGGGTTGCCACGTGTATGAAGATTTATTTTGAGACATCTCAAAACAAATCTTCATACTCGCTGCTGGGTTGCGGCTGATTTTGAGAATTCTCAAAATCAACCTCAAACAAAATGGACTACATCAGCCTCGGTTTGTATCAGATTGGCGACTTCCATATAAGATTGGTAACAAGTTAGTTAGGGCTAAATCGGTGTAGCGTGGTTCTATTTTGTAACGAGAATGGGTACCACCAGAAAGTTGGTGAACAACGTCCTCGGTAGAATTTTGCATGCATGGACAGCTAGATAGATAGCTGTAGAGGTAGCTGGCGTAGCAATTCTCTAAGTAGTAGTTCAATCGCGACTTGGGATATTTCCCAAGGTTCGCTGATGACGGGAGGGAGAGACAGAGTAGAAAAGGGATGATGAGTTAGTCAGTTAGACTAGCACTGCGCTGATGAAGGCTTTGTTGCCAAAACGCGTACGCACACACATCCCAGGCGATGTTTTGTCTTACCGACTGACTTACTAAGTCTTTCTTCTACTCGCTTTCTTCTCTCCAAGTTGAATCTGGTTAGATCCATTTAGATCTAGACACGAGCGACCTCACTTGGCTTGCTGCGATCAGATCCGCCCTTAAACAACATCTCTGGTGGCGATTTTGCCTGCGTTTCGGGATTCGCCGAGCCCGAGTTTGTCTCTGGTACGAAATTCGAACTTCTGATAGATACTTGTGTGTTTCGCATATTAGTTAGGTATTTCGTTTCATGACTGAAGAGCAAGGAGTCAAACGTACTGCCGCGGAGCGATCGCCAGAAGACACTCTTCTTCGACGATCTACTCTGCCTGTACACGCTGCGAAGAAGATAAATCTTCTTGGACAGCAACTTCCAGGTTTTGTTACAGCAAGCTCTTCGCTTCTTCTACCACCAGCAATTCGAGATTTCAATAACGATTTGATCCTGAGACAGCATAGTTTACCCAAAATGCTACTTTCTTCTGATCTGGTACCAGTTACTACGGAAGCACCTACAGCTGGTGTTGAAGTGATTCCGGTTTCTAAAGAAGAAATTGCGTTTTCACCTTCTACTGAGCTTGCCCTCCAAGCAGAGGAAGCAGCCTTAGACGCGTAGATGGAAGCTGAACGAGTTGCGCAAGCGGCTGCTGTGCAGGCGGCGGCGGATGCGGCAGCACACGTAGCTGCTATTAACGCGGCTGGAGCGCAGGGACGAGCTGCGGAACAGGCTGTAGGAGGGACCGACTTGCAGCAGCAAGTGTTTAACCAGCAGCAACTGCTTAAGCAGCAGCAGGAAATCCTGGGAGCAACCGTGAATATGTTGCTGAATGAACAGCGACAGCCGGGGTCATCCTCTTCCGGATCTTCACACTTGATCATGGAAGAAGATAAGATACCAGACATTTTCCTTCAGCAACTTCAGGGCTACAGTAAGCTGTACCGCGAAGCACTCATCAAGGAATTGAAGCTGACAACGAAGGTAGAACGCCTATGTTCGTTATTCTCTGAGTTGAGGTTACCGAGGAGCTTCAAGTCTGAGCCAATGACCTTCAAGAGTAGTGACGCGGAGATTAAGCTGAAGGGGGATGAAGAGTTTAAGCAGCTGGAAGCAGAATACAAGAAGCGGTGTTTCGAGACTTCGATCGCTTTGCATGACAGGGAGCTTCAGAAGCTGACGGGTCAGATTAGCAATGCTCAGGAGGAATTTCGACAGAATTTGCAGAAAACCCGAGAGACAGCTCCTTCAAATGTCTTTGGAGACAGCTTTGAGATGTGGGAGCAGATATTGCTGCAGCAGTTTCCGAAGACTCTCAAGGGTATTGCCTTGGAAGACACCCTGGCGTACATGAGCGCTCAAGAGGTGGCTCAGAAAGAGACACAACGGAAGGTGAATGCGAAGGCAGCTGCTGAGAATATGGAGTTGGAACCTACCGTAGCGGAATTGCTCAAGAAATCAGACTTGACCAAGAGGTTGGAAGCTCTGGAGGATCTTGTCAAGAAAAAGGAGAAGGGTGGGCAGCAGGTGCAGCAGCAGCAGCAGCAGCAGCAGCAGCAGCAGCAGCAACGGACTTCCTCTAGGAACACAGAGAATGTTCAGCATATGACTTCTGCTCCTCCTCATCACCGCAACTGGAACCCAAACCCATCCAATTCTAACCAGCAGTGGCAACCCCACAACCACATCCACCACCATCCTGCTCATTTCCAACAGTCCCATCAGCCCTTTTGGCCTACGCAGGGACAGGGACAACAGCAGCACGAGTTCTCTAGGAATCCTTCCGTGGAGCCAAAAAATGGGATGGGGGGACGGGGGGGATGGGGATGGGGAAGGGGAAGAGGTAGAGGAGACGGAGGCTACGGCAGGGGGGGAGGAGGGCGTGCCCCAGGAAGAGGATCGCCTTGGGGGAGAGGTTAGAGCACTTAACCGATCAGGACCTCGCTCTTTACTACTTTAGTCAGATGACAGAGTCACAGCTGATGAGGCGGATCACCAACCGTAGCATCTTCAACCTGAGTAGCCGTTGTCTTTCTTTAGAAGAAGAGAAGGTTCTGGGTCTTGGTTTGAAACTCATTTCGACGCCAACCTCTAGTGAGTACACTCCTGCCTTGGAGACTTTGAGGGACTTCCATGGCTTTTCCAGAAATCTGCGACTTCGTGAATTCTTTGGTGAATCGACTCCAGTGCCTCAGTTTCGAATCCCGAACTCACTGTGGGATGTTCCGACTGATAAACGGAATGGTACACTCGATACGATTTTGGAGCAGCATAGGGGAATCCTTCAACAACAACTTCTACAGGCCCAACCCAGTAAGAGGCACTCGAACTTGTCTCCCAAGTTAAGACGAGCTTTGAAGTCTATTGCTGCAGACTCTTCCATTGTGGTGAAACCCGCAGATAAAAATTTGGGTATGACCATCACGGATAGGGATCACTACATCCGCCTCTGCCTCCAACATCTGGAGGACGACGATGTGTATCAGAAACTCCCATTTGTTTCTGTTTCACACATCTTGGCTGGCTTCTCCTCTATCAGAGCTGAGTTCTCACCTTGTCTTAACAAAAAGACTTGGGATGCTCTTGAGAAGCCTCCAGTTTCATGTTGGAAGCCTGCATCATTCTATGTTCTTTTGAAGATGCATAACAAGGAACCAGTGGGTAGGCCTATTGCTGCCTCACACTCATGGGTTACCACTATGGCATCCAAGTGGTTGGACTCACAGCTTCGGCCACTTCTTTCAAAAAAGAAGACTTATCTCAGAGACAGCCTTTCTTTGGTCCTTTCTTTGGAAGAGATGACATTTCCGGAGAGAGTTCTTCTCTGCACATATGATGTGAAAAGTCTGTATCCATCTATTCCGATTTTTGATGGGATGGAAGCAGTGGATAGGATACTTTTGAAGGAGAAACATCCCCTTCGTCCTCTCATTGTTAGGCTTCTGACTTGGGTTATGACCAATTCTGTTGTTATGTTTGATAATTGTGTATACCGACAGGTACAGGGGACAGCCATGAGCACTCCAGTGGCTCCGAGTTTTGCCATCCTGTTTATGAGCTGGCTTGACAAAGAGCTCACTTGGAGAACTGAACACCATCCCCTTCTTCATCTCAGATATATCGACGATTTGTTGATATTCTGGGACAAGGGACTTGTGGAACTTGAGCAGTTTCTCAGTACCTTCAACAACCTGAGACCGACCAGCAAGCTGACCTGGGAGATTAGTGAGACTTCCATTAATTTCCTTGACCTCACCCTCTATAAAGGAGACAGGTTCAAACGTCAAGGTCTATTCGATGTGGCAACCTTCCAGAAACCACTCAATAGATACTTGTATCTCCCGTTCTCCTCCTTTCACTCTAGGGAGTGCAGAACGGGTTTCACCAGCAGTGAGCTGAACCACCACTGCATCCGGAATACTTCCTTTGACACCTTTCTGATCAGGAAGAAGGCCTTCTACAAACGCTTAAGAGCGAGAGGTTATCCTGACTATTTCCTTCAGAAGACTCTCAAGACAGTTAAACATGAAAACCGGCAGCAACGTTTGAAGACTTACATGTTCAAGAAATCGAGGGAAGCCCCCCTGGCCCTGAAGATACGAAGGTGTCCAAGAAATTTGGAGCTCGGGCTGGGGGGATTTTTGAGAATTCTCAAAATCAACCTCAAACAAAATGGACTACATCAGCCTCGGTTTGTATCAGCTTGGCGACTTCCATATAAGATTGGTAACAAGTTAGTTAGGGCTAAATTGGTGTAGCGTGGTTCTATTTTGTAACGAGAATGGGTACCACCAGAAAGTTGGTGAACAACGTCCTCGGTAGAATTTTGCATGCATGGACAGCTAGATAGATAGCTGTAGAGGTAGCTGGCGTAGCAATTCTCTAAGTAGTAGTTCAATCGCGACTTGGGATATTTCCCGAGGTTTGCTGACGACGGGAGGGAGAGACAGAGTAGAAAAGGGATGATGAGTTAGTCAGTTAGACTAGCACTGCGCTGATGAAGGCTTTGTTGCCAAAACGCGTACGCACACACATCCCAGGCGATGTTTTGTCTTACCGACTGACTTACTAAGTCTTTCTTCTACTCGCTTTCTTCTCTCCTAGTTGAATCTGGTTAGATCCATTTAGATCTAGACACGAGCGACCTCACTTGGCTTGCTGCGATCAAATCCGCCCCTAAACAACATCTCTGGTGGCGCACAGCGCTGTGTGCCCCCACTCATGGTATCCGCCATTGGAGGTGGCGCCTGTACAGTGGGTGCCACGTATGCCGCCTACCCCAGCCACGTGCCCCAGAAGCCGCAGGTGCCTCTCATGCCCCGCTCACCGTGCGCCCGTGCGGCCCGCCATGCCCCGCCCCTATCCTCTCTTCAGGTGGAGTACGTGGAGTTTGAGCGGCACGGCACGGGCACGAGCAGCATGTGAGGCGCCTCAAACCCCCCCTCCCATCGCCTCCTGTGCGGCATGCCATTTTCACCCCCCCACCTCCCCTCCGCCCACCCCTCCCCTCACCCCCCCCAGGTGGAGTACGTGGAGTTTGAGCGGCACGGCGCGGGCACGAGCAGCATCTCGTCGTCCTACTTCGATTTGGTCATCCGCCTGCGCAGCGAGCAGGAGCACCAATTTCGAAACATCCAGCGCAACGAGTACCACAACCTCTTCTCCTTCTTCAGGTGCCTGCCCCCTCACCTCATATGTCAACTCATATCCGAGGCGTGTGTTGCTGCATCCATGCACGGGAAAGCCCTGTGACCCACCAGTTGACCCACCAGTGCCACGGCTTCTTTTTCGTATGCATCTGTCTGCACCATCACCGTCTCACTTGCCTCTCGCCATCGCAAGGACGCCCACTTCACTCATCCACCATTCCACCATTCCACCATTCCACAATTCCACCAGTTCGCCCCCAGCAATCATAAAGAATCTCATTGTTTCTATAAAGCAGTCCCTCAATGTTGGCCTTCCTCAATGCGTTCACGTATACCCCAACCACCCACGCACCGTGCCCTCCCCCCAGTGACAAGCGCCTCAAGATTCTCAACCTCGGCGACTCGCACGCAGCGGCAGCAGCGGGCGCGGAGGCGGGGGCGGGCGTGGGGGGCGTGGGGGTGGGCGGCGTGGACTCGGACGACGACGCGGTGGACCCGCACCTCAACCGCATTCGCGCGGGGGGGGCTGATGAGAGCGACGAGGAGGTGCGCTGGGGGGGGGAAGAGGAGAGGGATGATTGGTGCAGAGGAGAGGGGGGAGCGTGCGGGGCCATGTGAGGGTAGAGGAGAGGGGGGAGCGTGTGGGTGGGTGAGTGTTTGACTCGAATCCTGAGGCCGTTGATCCCAGCATACCCCGTTCCTCCTCCATGTGCTCTGCTCTTGCCTCACCCCACTCGCCCTCCTCCTGCGCGTGCCATGCACATGCCTCACTCCCCTCACCTCCTCCGCGTGCCATGCACATGCCTCACTCCCCTCACCTCCTCCGCGTGCCATGCACATGCCTCACTC